AATAGGTAGTTTTCCAACTTTGTCTTTTTTTCATGTTGTCGTAATTCTTTATTTTGGGGGAAATTTTTTTAATGTACTGATGTTTTTCATATTTCATCAGATTCATCTCTAAGTATTTCACATATTTTAAAATTTTTTGTTTTTGCTGTGTTGGGGACCATGCTGTGTGCATGCTGGCAAGTACTCCACTAGTAAGCTATATTCCCAGCCTATTTCAGGTATGTGTGTGTGTGTGTGTGTGTATCTGAATATATGTATAAATTTCTTTCTAGGTATGAGTACTGAACCCAGAGCACTCTACCACTGAGCTACATCCTAGCCATTTTATTTTATTGAGAGAGTTTCTCACTAAGTTGCCCAGGCAGCTCCTGCCTTTTTCTCATTGTTTGTTGCTAACACATAGAAATACATCTTATTTTTGTATGTCGATTCATATTCCCCACAAATGATGCATTACATTTCACATGGGCTATTTTATGTAAAAATGCGGGAGTTGGGGTCATCACCTGCTTTCTTATGGCCAGGCAGGGGATTTCAGCCTTAGCAGCTACTTTACTTTTAGAAGTTTTTCAGTAAATTTAGGAAAAGCAAAGGAGTAGGGTTTTTGGTGTGTTTGACTTTTGTTTATTAGAGAGGAGAACTCTTCCATGAGCAGTTCTTAAAAATAAGTCATTATTGCTGTTATTCAACTTTCTGTCACTATGACAAAATATCAGAGATAATCAACTTGAAAGGAGGAAAGGTTTATTTGAGGCATGGTTTCAGAGGTTCTGTTGTTTTGGGCTCAAAGAAGCACAGTACATCATGGCAGGAGTGTATGGTGAAGGAGATCTATTTACTTCATGGTGGTTGGGAATCCAAGAGAGAGACAAAGGAGCCAGATTCCCATTATGTCCTGGAAGGAAATGCCTCCATTGACCTAACTTCCTCCACCTAGAAGCAACATTACAGGATGGGGACCAAGCCTACACATGGGTTTTTGGGGAACATTTCAGATCCAAACGACAATTGCTTTCCCATCTCCCCCATACTTTCCAGAGTCGAAAGCTTACTCTTCAGTTATCAGAGATTTTTGCTCTCCTGCAAAAATCTGTGTCCTGTTTCATTAACTGTGACTTCACACATTTTTCCTCCAATCATTCCCTATTCTCACCCAGAACTGTCTACCTAAAGGATTGGGTTTAAGGTGTAGAAAGCATTTCATAGAAAAATATTTACACACAACTTAACCAGAATTAAGTTTGCAATCTCCAAGGCTTCCTTCAGTCAGAACATACCAAAATAATAATAATAATTTATAATAATAATAATAATAATAATAATAGAAAACCAAAGGCATTTTGCCAGTTTAAGAAAAGAATTCACAATTTTCAAATTTTTCAAAATAAATCTGTATAACCTCCCACCCCTTTATCCTAATCATACCAAGTTGCAGCCTAGTAAAGATAATCCTATTATGAGGGAAGCTGCATAGCATAATCTTATGAAGGCAACAATAACTTACAAAGGAGTGTATAAAAGGAAAGAATAAGGGAGTAGAGTGAAGCTGTCGACTGATTGTTGAGCAGTTTCTTCCATAAAAGGTACAATTCATCAGACTGCAAGTAGTCTGGAAAGCCAAATGCAAAAGATCACAGCAATGATCTCTCTCCTAGAGGTGGCCAAATGGCTGATATGATTGAGTCAGCTAAAAAGAGGAACAGAAGGGATAGGTGGTGGAGGACTCCAAGACCTGAGCCCTTCCCACTTTCAATTTTCAGCAGTTATCATCTGAAATCTGTGCTGTGTACGTTCTGGTGTGGTAGTTTCCTCATGTCTGTGCAGATTGGACTCAACGCTCCAGGAGTTCTGCAGATGTCTAGAGTTCTTTGTGTGACTCTCCTCTAGGCTGCTCTTTGTGGACCACAACTACCTTCGTTTCCATAGACTTTCATCTCCCCAATTCCTGAGTTTTTTTTTTTTTCCTGCTTTATGGCTCAGAAATTTTCTACAAACATTAAGTAGGGACACTTGTAGGATTTTCTGTCTTCCAAGAATCACTGTCATTGAACGTTTGACATACAGTATCTAGAGGGCTGTTGTTTCACAAAAAGGTCTAGTCCATTATCACACAATGCATTTAATTTTCATAACTTTATTATTCTTTAATTTGAAACAATCTCTAGCCTTTTCTATCTATCATGACATTGGCTTTTTTTTGTATCTTTTGATATTAGATATTGAACTCATGTGTGTGTTTTAACACCAAACTATATCCGTGGTCTTTTTTTTTGAGACAGAGTCTTGCTAAATTGCTGAAGGTCTCATCAAATTGCTGAGGCTGGCCTTAAACTTGTGATCCTCCTGGTTCAGCCTTCCCAGTTATTTTAAGAAATAACCTCTGTTGAGGTTGTCAGTGTTTCCTGGTAATCACATTCAGTTTATGTCTCTCTGGTCAGAATACAACTCCTTGCACCAGCTCAGACAATGAGTACACCTAACATCCGGATATTGGTTTCTAAATACCATTTCCCACCAAATGAGAAATGGTTCCTTGTAGAAATGGCTGATTTTAGGACATGGTAAAGAATATACAAGATTCAGTTAGAGGGGGACTGGGGTTGTGGCTCAGAGGTAGAGCGCTTGCCTAGCATGTGTGAGGCCCTGGGTTCGATCCTTAGCACCACATAAAAATAAGTAAATAAATTAAAGGTATTGTGGGCAACTACAACTAAAAAATAAATATTAAAAAGAAAGATTCACTTAGAATATTTTGCTATGCCAAAAAGTAAGGATTTGCTCAAAAAATGATGGTCACATGACCCAGTAAAAAGATACTCAAATTGGCTGAATCTGGGACAAACTGATAATCAGAATAAGTTGGAATAGAAATGGATTACAAACCACTGAATAAATAGGAATCCATATCCATAAAGAATAGATAATTTATGAGCAAGGGAGAAGGAAAGATTGGTAGAGTTAGAAAATGACTATTTTGTACCATCATTTTTTAAAACACGAATCATCAGTAAATAATAAATCTTGAAGTATAAGTTTCATGAGAAGAAGATATTTACATGTTATCATACTATTACCTCACAGATTCCTTATAAATTGCAAGGAGATAAACACTAACTATGTCACTTTCTTAAAAATGGACAATGCATTGACAAGATGATTAAAATTTTTAATCATGATTAAAAGACAAATGGATTTTATGTACCTATAGATGTAATTCCTTAAAGACAACATAAGCTCACTCGAGTGAGCTATCTTCCTATCTCTTTCCCTGATATTTAGAATTGGATGAAATTCTTCTTTTGTGTTCTTTTTTATTCTTTTCTTGAGTGATGTACCTCTTCAAACTGGATAGTCACATTCTTTAATTTTGGCGATGAATAGAAACATATACACATATATATCCAGTATTCAAAATTTTTTTTAAAATATAATTTTAGTTGCAGACACAATACCTTTATTTTATTTGTTTATTTCTATGTGGTTCCAGGGATTGAACCCAGTGTCTTATGCATGCTGTGCAAGTGCTCTACCACTGAGCCACAATCCCAGCCCCCAGTATTTAAATTTTTAAATTTAATCATCATGTATTGATTCTCTAAGTCTCTTATTTTATATTTTTTAATCTCCTTTTTTTCTGCTTTCTGGGAGACTTTTCTCAGTTATGTATCTTCAAGTCCATTTATTAATTTGGGGTTTTGTTTGTTTGTTTTTACAATGCTGGCAATTAAACCAAGGGCCTTGAACATTCTAGGTAAGCCTCTACCACTGAGCTATGTACCATGAGCCCCGAATTTTTACTTCAACCATCAAAACTTTAATTTCTAAGAATTATTTATTATTATCTGCTTTTTTCCATAAAAATACATCCAGACCATAGCAATAGTACCTGCATATACAAGCATGTAGAGAAATGTATTATAAATAAAATAACAAAAGTTAAAATGACATTAGGCTTAATAACACAGCCAGATTTGGTAAATAAAGATATAGGACATGTATTAGCTTTCTGTTGCTATGACAAAATAACTGAGAAAATCAACTTAAAGAAGGAACTATTTGTTTTGGCTCACAGTTTCAGTGTTTTAAATTCCTGGTCACCTCGATCCATTGTTTCTGAGCTTGTGATGAAGCAGAACATCATGGTGGGGAGTGTGTGGTGGAGCAAAGTTGCTCACCTAATGGCAGCTGAGAAGCAAAGAAGCAGGACAGAGAGAGGCCAGGAAAAAAATATCCTTCAAGGACAAACCCCAGTGACCTATTTCCTGTAACTAAGCCCTACCCTTAAAGTCTCCACTACCACCTTCCAATGCCCATTAAGATCTGATGCAGTCATCTCCCAAAAGGCCCCACCTCTGAACACAGGCACTGGGGACCAAGTCTTCCACATATGAGCTTGTAGGGGACATTTCAGATCCAAATTATTTGGATAAAAATTATATAAAAATATATAATTATAGTTGTCTTGAGTCATGCTATGCAAGAGATATAGATAATGTCCAAAATTTAATATTTTCATTGAAAAAAGGATGGTCTTACTAAACGTATAGTATTTCTTTAAAAAAAAAAGCCTACTTGATAATATATTGCCTACTAAAGGTAAAAATTACATTAAAAATTCAATTGAATTTGAATTTCAGGTGACTGAATAATTGTTTAGTATATGTATATCCCAAATTTATGGTATTTATAGTTCATCTGATTCAAATCACATCAGGTGTTCCATATTTATTCAGCAATTCTACAGTAGTGACATTGAAAATAACTCTCTAGTAGGAATATGCTAGGAGGGCTGGGGTTGTGGCTCAATGGTAAAGCGTTCACCTAGAACATGCAAGGCCCCAGGTTCGATCCTCAGCACCACATATAAATAAATAAATAGATAGATAAAAGGTATTGTGTCCAACTACAACTAAAAAGTAAATATTAAAAAAAATTTTAAAAAGGAATATGCTAGTAGATTACTTACCTTTTCCATCCTCTAAGAGATGTTAATTTTATTTTATTTATTTACTTATTTTTAATATATTTTTAGTTGTAGATGGACACACAATGTCTTTATTTATGGTGCTGAGGATCGAACCCAGTGCCTCACACATTCGAGGCAAGCCCTTTGCCACTGAGCTACAGTCCCTGCCCAGAAATGTTAATTTTAAAAAGCACCTCAGAGAAATAAAAAAAGAAGAATAACAAAACACATGTACTCTATTTTTAGCAATGTAAGTGACAGAAAATCTCAAAATCCATACTTTAAAAGACTGAACTAAATTACATTGGGCAGCAAATGCAAGGAGAATATCAAGTTGTCTCCTAAGTAGTGGATCTCAGAAAGCATAAGCAAAAAATATATTCTGAAAAGAAAGCACTCAGAAATGGAAAATTTATAACCTATAAATCTAATAACTGAGTGCAAGCCTGCTGTAAGCCAGACTTCAACTGCTGATTTTTCTTTGGTCTTTTCATGGCACTAGCCTTGGAATGAGAATGTGCTTCCCATTCAGAGAACACAAATATGGAAAATGGAATATGAAATACATATGGAATCATAGAAGATGGTTTGAAGTACGAATATGACATTTTTTTTCATTTATTGAGTAAACCTTTCTTTCCCTACTTATTAAAGTTCTACTGTGTTCTAAATTCTTATAAATGTGAAAACACATATATACACATACATATGTATACATGACTTTCTGAGATTCTGCTTTGGTTTTATGATTTTCAAATTCTTTAAGGACCAATGTACAAAGCTGAATTTAAAAAATACATTTATTCTCTTATCTCTAAAGACATCAATATATATCAAAATAAAGACCATACAAATTATGTTTGAATAATATGGTTATGTTTTGCAAAGGCAATTTTATTTACCTTTAGTAGACAATACTTCTATTATTGTGGGAGACCAACCTCCCATGTGACTAAATTAATTCTCCTGCTGGGTGATGTGGAGTCAGGCACCCATGCTGCTAGACTGCCCCATTCTTCTAGGGTTCCATGATGTGTGTCTTCCTACAGCCCCATATGGGTGAAACTACGCTCACCTGTTCCTTTGTAATATAACCTCTTGCCCTGTTTAGGGTAGAATCTTCCATGGAAGTGCCTTGTGTGTGTCCCCTTCTCTTACTGTGCCCTTGGGTGTGATCTACCCAGATGTCAGTCAGCCTGCTGACAGTGGACATCATGAAGATAGACTCAGCCTCCTGAAACCTGACCCCTTACCTCATTTGAATAGCTTCTCAATAAAAGGGGTCAGCACTTGCGGTGCTCTCTCTCTCTCTTCCTGTGGACCCTTAAGGTCAGAGGAGCCGTCACAGCGACGCCAAAGAAAAAGGTATTTGTGTCTTTTGTGTGATTATTTTGTGCAGCCCAATTAGCCCAGTTCAACTGGAGTGACCCCTGAGCCTTTTAGTCGCGAGAACAGAAACCCGGCATATTATCAAGTAGGCTTTTTAAAAGAAGAAATAGTATAAGATTAGTAAGATTACCATTTTTTTCAATGAAAATATTAAATATATTTACCCTCTTGGACATTATCTATATCTCCTGTGTAGTGTGACTCAAGACAAACAAACCATAACCAGAGAGTCAAATTATAAAGGTAATACCTCAGTGAAGAGGCCATATGCCTAGAAAAAGAAATTTCTCTGAATTTTATACATTAGTAAAGAAATAAGAAAATGTCATTTCTCTTTTCAATAGGATTTATTTATGTTTAATTAAAAGTAGCAAATGTTATGTAAGTCATTTTCTTAAGAACTTTATTTTGTACAACCATATGGTTATCAAGCAACATTTATGGAATGTTCCCTGGGTCCATGATACAGAACTTTGTAACTACTGTAGCATCCTCTTTTCCAAGTTTAAACATGACTATGTACACTGAAGAAGCACAGCTGTACCTTGCAGAGTGGTCATCTGTGACAACCTGACATCAAGTGAGAAGCCTCATGAAGAATGTTGTCTTTTGTTGATTTTTTTACAGAATGGCACTTGTCTTTTTTGTGTGATTATCAAACCCATATTGATTTTTTTCAATTCATTTTTCCTTTGCTACCATGAAAACAAACCAGTTAAAACTAAGCAGTGTAGCAATATAACGAATCAAACACATATGATGTTATATCTTATATAGGATGTTTTAGGTGGTATGGATGTTTTATATTAGACATCTGTACTTAGCTTATTTTGGACAATAAAAAGAAGCATATCAGCTAAGCAAACTCAAAGATTATATTGGAGATTGATACACTGTTTTCACACACACACACACACACACAAATCTTGGGCTCATTTGTTTTTCAGGAGTTTGGTAGAATAGTTTACTGTTAAAAAGGTTTTGCTGTTTGCTGTTTTCCCCAGATTCCTTTTTTATGCATTTTTAGATAACAGAATAATATTGTTTCTGAAACATTATTACTTGGTTTGACGGGCTACAAGAGTGCAGGCTCACTTTGCCATTCTCCTCTTTGTGAACATTGATTATTTCTGTTTACTTTTCCAAACATGTGCTTATGCTAAAGATCCAAAACCTATAATGGGGAGTCACTGGTAATTATAAATATACAATGTTTTGTTAGGACAATGACTGATCTGAGGGATTGAAATTTTGTTGCTAATGTAAGAGCTCTGACTATCCTGCTCAGCTGTACAGAGAAGTATTTGGGAATAGGGAAATGCATATTTCCAAAGAAACCATACTGCATGCTTATTTGACTGGTAGAATTTCTCTGGTTTGATGCATCACTGGTATTCAGGGTGGAATCGACATGCAGCTTCTTCAGCAAGCTTCTTACTCCATCAGGAGAGTCCAGCGATGTTACAGATGACTTATAGCCTGTCACTGCACATATCTCTCTATGCTCACTGCCAGGGAGGTTGCAAATTCTCTAGTCCAATGTTAGTCTTAAAACTGAAGGTGCTTTGCTTCAGATACCTGTCATACCTATAAAAAAGAAAATTTCAAAAAAAGAAAAAGAGGGAAAATTTGTGTTACAGGTTTTATAGTACTTTAAGAATTGTGTGAATTATTTATTTTTATATCTATTACAAATTTGTGTTTAAAATACAAATTGTTGGGCTGGGGCTGGGGCTCAGTGGTAGAGAGCTTGCCTAGCACATGTGAGTCACTGGATTCATTCCCTAGCAGCACACAAAAACACTAAATAACAAAGGTATTGTGTTATCTACAACTAAAAATATTTTTAAAAATACAAATTGTTGATAAGAACCATTACTAGTAAAGTGTATCAGTGATTATTTTATTTTGTGCAATGAAATTTCAGCACAGAAAATGGTTAAAGTATTTCACATTAATTTTTATCTGAAGTGACTTTTTTTTTTTTTTGGTGGTGGTGCTGAGGATTGAACCCTGGGCCTTGTGCATGCGAAGCAAGCACTCTAACCAACTAAGCCATATCCCCAGCCCTGAAGTGACTTTTAAAAAACTTTTTATTAAGTAAATTTTAAAAGACCCCAAAATAGGTAAATTTCAAAAATTACCCCCTATATGCAAAGTGATCAACCATCTTAAAGTATTATTCACAATTCTGTTATTGTTCAATAATGCTTATTTACTGCTTATTAAGTGTCTGGTAGTTTTCCAGACCTGCTTTACCTCATTCAAAACACAGAAGAATCAAATGAGCAAGGTTAGAGGCAGAATTACTATGATGCTTAGAAAGCTTACTTGCCTGGGTACCTTCAAAAAAGAGGCCCTATCAGTATCTTTATGTGTTTATATACAGTCACACTGTCACTTAAGAACTGGATGTGTTCTGAGAAATGCATAGTTAGACATTTTTGTCATACTCACACAAACCTAGATGGTGGAGCCTATGCACATAGGCTGTATAGTGTAAAAGTGGTATAGCCTATTGCCCCAAGGGCCAGGATGAACAAAGCAACACTAGACTACATCTAGCACAAGAGAAATCAATCCAATCAAGGGAGTGAATGAGACTACTGCTGTCATAACATTGTATACTGTTTTATGATAAACTTTTTTTTTATAAGTAGAAAGAGTGCCATCTAATTATAAAAACTATAATATTGTAAGTAAAGAAATTGATAACAGTTACTTATTACCAAGCATTATACACTGTGCATAATTATATGTATCTTGCTTTTATATAACTGGCAACCAAATAGGTTTGTTTAAACTGACATCACCACAAAGACATTGGTAATGTGTTATGATAGCCAAAACATCACTATTAAATTTTCAGCTCCATTATAATCTTAAGGGACCACTGTTGTATATTCAGTCCATCGTTGACCAGAAACAACATTACCTGACGCATGACTGTATTTTGTTAAGTTTGCAAAAATAAGATATTTCAACCACAACCAGTTTAGACAGCTGGCTCTTTCCATTTCAACTGTCTCTTAGTGATAATTTGTCCTCTTATTGTAACTATGGAGCAGCAGTAACCATTTCTATGATCTTAATAAAATAAATGACCATTAATAAAGGGTTGACCAGTATGTATTTTATATGTTTTGCAATGTCATCCACGTATAGTTACATTTTTCTTGGTCATCTCAGTTTGGTATGTCTTCTAGGAATATTCTGAATATGGTTAATTCAGAGAACATTTAAGAGCAGGCATTCAGAGAAGACCCGAAAAGACCTGACATCTTCTGATTTAGATATGAAAGAGATTCAATAGAGGTTCCCCCATTTTTTTTTAACCCAGGGGCACTTAACCACTGAGCCACATCTCCCCATTTATTTGGAGACAGGGTCTCACTAAGTTACTTAGGGCCTCATTAAGTTGCTGGGGCTGGCTTTGAACTTGCAGTCCTCCTGGCTCAGCCTCTTAAGTCACTGGGGTAAGAGATGTGTGCCACCATGCCTGGAAAAGTTTCTCCAAATTTTACAACAATCCTAAAAATTACATATTACTAACAAAGAATTGACAATGTAAAATAAACCTCAGTAAAAGAAAATTGTCAAAGAGAAAAATAGAAAGCAAATTTCCATAAAATATTTAGAGAATAGTCTAAATAATTTTTTCTATTCCTCCTACAGAAAATGCCATTACAAGATTCTCATCAAATGCAGAGACAATAAAAGAATAGGCAGGGCTTATTATCAGTGGCAGAGTGCTTGCCTAGCTCGTGGAGGCAGCACCACATAAAAATAAACATAAAATAAAGGCATGCTATCTAATTACAACTATAAAAAAATTTTTTAAAAAGAAGAGGCAATCAGTGTGTACACAACTAAATAAAGTAGAATATTGTACAGCTGTTAATATGATGTCATTTTCTCTACATTATATATATATATGTGATATCTGAGAAATTTGTTAACACCTAACAATGTAGTTTTCATGATTTATTTTTCTTCTAAATTAATATATGGAGCTGGAACCAATTATATATTCATACTTTGCATTCCTTCCCTTAAAGAGGACTCTGCAAATTCAATTCAGATTCAGGTTCCAGAAGTCCTGGATCTGAGATATATGGTACTGTTATCCCTGTTTTAATTGAAGTTCAGAGAAGTCATGTGATTTTACAAAGTTCACCATTATTAAAAGGTGCAGCAGCCTTTCAAACCTGACTTTCCTTCCCAACACATTAGTAATGATGGTTAATTTCATGTGTCAACCATGGTGTAAATTGTCTGGTCAAATGGCAGCCTAGATGTTGCTTTGAAGATATTTTTAGATGAGATTAACATATCAGTCATTTGAACAAAGCAGATTGCCTTCCCTACTCTTAAGAGGGCCTTAAGAGAAACCACCAAAGTCCCATGAGGAAGAAAGAATTTTGCCTCCAAACTGCCTTTGGACCCAAGATGGCAAAATCGACTCTTCCTGACTTCTGTTCACCAGATGCCAGTAGTACCACCCAGTTGTGACAACCAGAATCAATTTTCAAGACACTTCCAAATATCCCCTGATGAGAGAAAGGAAAGGGGCAAAATAGCCTGCCTACCTGCTATGTAAGCGCCACTATGTTAGATTAGCTCTAAGCAATTATATATGCATATGTGATAGTATGTTGAGATGATCAACATTGAGGTAGCTTTGGACATTTCAGGAGAAGGCTGTTGATCACTTCGTAGGTTGAGTTAAGAGATAGTAGCCTAGGGCTGGGGTTGTGCCTCAGTGGCAGAACGCTTGCCTCGCACATGTGAGGCACTGGGTTCCATCCTCAGCATCACATAAACATAAATAAACAAATATATTGTGACCATGTATAACTAAAAAAATATTTTTTAAAAACAGGTGGTAGGGCTGGGGTTGTGGATCAGTGGTAGAGTGCTCACCTAGCATGGGCAGGACCCAGGTTCGATCCTCAGCACCACATAAAAATAAAATGCATTGTGTTGTGTCCATCTACACCAAAAAATAAATATTAAAAAAAGTCATTGTTTATTAAAAAAAACAGGTGGTAGCCTAATATTCTGTAATTCTTATAAATAATTTTTTTCAGTTCTTATAAGAAAGAAGTAAAAAAATAGAGAAAGGTCAGAAAGATTGATAACTTCAAGCTCTTGGCAAGTGAGAGCTGAGGCAAATTGAGGGCAATCACAGGAATAGGAGAATAGACTTTTTTAAATTAAGAGGGACAGAATTTAGCTCTTATTCCAACAGAAATGAACCTTATCTAGAAAATGACTTTCAATTCATAAATCACCAACAACCAGGCTGGGATTGTGGCTCAGCGGTAGAGTGCTCCCCTAGCACGGGTGGGACCCGGGTTCGATTCTCAGCACCACATAAAAATAAAGGTATTGTGTTGTGTCCATCTACAACAAAAAAGATTCTTTCTCTCTCTCTAAAAATAAATAAATAAATAAGTCACCAACAAGGACCTGAGCTTAGTCCTGGGACATGGACACAGTCTACCATAGGAACCATGGTGGGGACCCTAGGCTTCTTGATGCACAGGAATTTGTAGACATTTGCATGATTTTTCAGTACCTCTTGCCTTGCTAATACCAATACTAGGAAAATCATTTTCCCAGGGAATATTTTTTTGGTGGCAGGACAGAGTGGGAGTACGTTTATCTGAATGAATGTTCCTGTGGGTTCAATGACCCAAGGAAAAAAAAATACAGCAGTAGTCCAGTAGATGGTGCTGTATCTGCCTAATTCATCAAGCGTATGTGACCATGTCTTTCCCAGTAGAATATTTTCTTCAGTCCTTTGGATATAAGTTGAATTTAGCTATCCTTTAAGTTAAAGATATCTGCCAAATTAAACAGAATTTGCATTTATGTTAATCTTCACTTCTGATTCAAAACATGCATTCCTAATCAAGGTAACCTGGCAGTCAGTACAAAGCAAGGCTCAGGCCCAGAGGCACAAGAACATATTGTGTTCAAAACAAAAGGTTTTTCCTTTGTTTCAATTTTCATTAATGCCATAGTCAGGAGGCTTAATAACACTACTACTGGCACGCATAAGCAAAACTGATATAAAAATCTTTTAATGTTCATTTCTTCAATATCCTGCTGGCTGATAAAGTCAGATGTGTGTTTTGTTACTATCCATGGTAGTCTAAGATATTAAAAAAGACAGAGCTTAGGATATTAAAATGACTTATGGAATTCAGAAATATAATAATGTGCTCCAAAAGATAGCTTCATGAGTTGGAGTTCTAGTTTCATAGCATTCAGAAAGGTCAAATTTCTGAATATTACCCTGAATATAATCAGGATATCTGGCTTGTCTCATGTCAAAATGAGAAGTTCTAGGGCACATTTACACAATTATAATTGGAAAGTTATGAGATTCACAATCTACTGAAATTTATAATCCCATGGGGAGAAAAAGGATCCAAATATCCTTATCTTTTATAACTCGTGAAGTCAGTCTCCAATATGTGTGAGCCAAGAAGAAGAATCTCACTGCAGTTTTTATAAGTAGTATTTTTTTTTTTAAGAAAGAGAGACTCTTGTTGGCTCTCATTGGAGCTGGACTTACTTGTATAACAAAACAGATGAAGGACCCTTGAGGAGGATGGTAGTGACAGCAATGGGTAGAGGGTGGAGGAAGTTGCTACTCTACATATATAACTCCATGTTCCACTTAAAACATGGTCAGAAAAAATGAAGACAAATAAAATAGTGTTGATGGTGACTCCAGTTAGGCAGAAAACAGACAAAACAGAAGTCAAAGAGAAGTAAAGAAAGTAGGGAGAGGGCTGGGGCTGTGGCTCAGTGGTAGCATGCGTGAGGCACTGGGTCGGATCCCCAGCACCACATTAAAAAACAAACAAAAAAAACCCTGAATAAACAAAATAAAGGTGTTGTGTCCATCTATAACTGAAAATATTTTCAAAAATGGGGGTGGGGGGGCAGGGAGAAGGGATATCTTCCAAACGTGTGAACCTTACTCTTGTGTGTTACCTACATGTACCTCAATGAAGCTATTAATAACATGATCATACATATTTCCCATCAAAATAATAGAGAGCATGTTAGTTTTCTATTATTACAACAAATATCCAAGATAATCAGTTTATGAAAAGAATAGCTTTACTTTGGCTCCCATTTTTGGGGGTCTCAGTCCATGATGTTTTGGTCTGGTTGCCTTTGGGCTTGTGGTGAGGGTGCATGGCGGAGCAAGCTCTTACCTCATGGTGTGAAAGCAAAAAAGAGAAGGAGGAAAAGAGTACTCTGCAGTGGAGTATTTGGAAAATGCTGTTTCAGAGATAAAAATAGCACATTTTGCTGTCACATTGAAAGGATTGTGAAGATGTAAAAACTTACCAAAAGGATCTACTTAATATCCTGAGAGTTAAGATTTTTGCTTAAACTTGGCTTCTTGGTACAGTTGTTTAGTTTTTGCCCTATCATTCTCCTAATTGAAACATCATCCGTATTGGGAAATAACTGTTTTGTTACTCCTGTAAAAGACAACAATAACACCCCAAAACACTTTATGAGACTTTTGAATCTTAAAGCACAAACTGAGGCAAAACATTAAACATCCTACATTGTAATTTTGTCTCCATTTTACAAAAGTACCCCAAATTCCCAAGAGGTATTTAAATGATTTTGTTTTCAAAATAAAACAAGAGATAACAGAGGGTCCATATTGTAAGTTTTTTTTTTAATTATACATGGATACAAATATCTTTGTTTATTTATTTTTTTATGTGGTGCTGAGGATAGAACCCAGTGCCTCACATGTGCGGAGGCAAGCACTCTGCCACTGAGCCACAACCCCAGCCCCAGAAGGTCCATATTGTAAAAGCAGAATATACTTTTGTCTTCCTATGGCACCATTCAACTATAACCCTGCTCCTTACTTCCAACCTGAAATCTTTTTGCTCCATAATGTTAGGTATTTATTTTTATCCATTCCTAACATCAGTTGAAACTACTAGATTCCAAATTATCTTTTTCCAGCTAAGAAATGACATACATAGAACCCGGATTCAGAGACTCTCTAAATTTGTTGGATGATTGCAAAAAAAAAAATCTTTTTTTTAATAATCTAGATGATTATATGTAAGAAGGTTTATTAATTTAAAAACTACAAATAGTATAGTCAAGTTAACCTTCATCTTTCTAGAATAAAAGATGAAGGATATAACCAAGAAAGAGAAAAATGGAAATTGTTATTGAAATTTTATTTTAAATTTTTTTATTTTTGAAAGCCACAAATGTTATTAATTCAAACTTGTTGGTCATATGACCTTCAGTTTTATTTTAAAAACCATTTTAATGAAAAGTTTTCAATAAATTTTCCCATGTTTAATGGAAGCATTATACTATTCTAAAATTTTTCTTTCATAGAACAATAAATTTGAAAAAAAATAAAAAGGACCATGAAAGAATAACTTGACCTTGAATGGTAACACAATTTCAAATTTGTGTGACAATATAATGAAATGATATTATCACCTATGATTTCTTGAACTTCATTCTGATTCATAGCTGGTTTTACGGCTTTGTCCCTTGAAGTAGAGGATTTTGCCCCTGTCAGGCTATGTGTGGCCATGTATTCGTTTGTGTAAAGTACTTGCATTAAATCATTAATAAACTTCTGAGGCTTGCTCTTATTACAACGGGCAATCTGCCATTTTTCAATCTTGAACTAAAAAAGTAAGAAATAATAGTCGAAGTTAGAAAAAGAAAAATGGTATCTGGAGAAATATATTACTAATTAAGATGTGCCAGCAAACAATATCAACATTATTTAAGGTGACATATTATACTTTAGTATATGTTTTACACTTCAAGGGTTAGAGTTTAATGTTATCTTTGAGATAATTCTCAGTATTTATGAGATATTTGTTCCAGGGTTCATGTAAATTCTTGTCATGTAATCTGGATTTGGTGCTTCAAGGATCAATCCTATCCTCAGCACTGCATACCAAGTGTGGTAAGCAGAATAAAGGTCTCTGAAGATCACAGCCTAATCCCTGTACTGTGACTATATTACCTCACAGTACAAAAGCAATTTTGTAAGATGTGATTAAAGGTAAGTACTTTGAGATGGGAAATTATCCTGGATTGCTCGTGTGAGCTTAATCTACTCATACAAGTACTTAAAAACAGAAGAGGGAGGCAGAAGAGTGGGTCAGAAAAGAGAGACACAAAAAAGAGGAAAGATTCAGAAAGAGAGACTTATGTGTCATGGCTGGCTCTGTAGGTAGGAGAAGTGGGCCATGACCCCAAGGGGTGTGATTGCCTCTAGCTGTGGGAATGGCCTTTAGTTTAGAGCCAGCAAGAAAATGGGAAATTCAGTTCTACATACAAGAAACTAAGTCCTGCAACACAAATGAACAGGAAACAGATTCTCCTTTACAGTCTTCAGGAATGTTCCTGCTGACCTCTGATTTTAGTTCAGTGAAGCCTGTTCCAGATTTTGGACCTACAAAAATATGAGATACTAAATTTATGTTATTTGAAGTCACTAAATTGTGGTAATCTGTTAATAGCAATAGGAAATTGGTATACTATGACTCAAATATTCTGAATGTTAGATTGTTAATATTTCATTATCCCCTCTGAAGGCATAATTTCCAAGGCTGATCTGTGATTTTAACAAAACCTTATCTTTTTGGGTTTCTGATTTTTTGATTAAGAGAAACTGCAAAAAAAAAAAAATAAAAATAAAAAAGGAATTGTGATCCTCCAGCGCACAGAGACTGAAATTTATCTTCTCTCAATTATATAAAATTTTATAACTGTTGATGCCTAAGTATCCTCCTGTTATTGGTTTTAGAATGTAATAGCTTAAAAACTTGATCATTTTTCTACAATTTGACTTTAGTTTTTTACACTGGGTATTTGCTTTCAGAAATTAATTTTCATTGCATAGATAAAATAGTTCAATATAATAAGAATATTAAGGTTATGTCCTAAACTTACCTAAAAACTTATCTGATACAACAATGATCATTTCTGCCTTTATTTTAATTTTTGCATTTAACTATTTTCCAGAGAACGACAGGGCAAGTATTCCAACTGACCTGCTTCTCTTCAGGATGATGCTCCTCCTCAGCCTTCAAGGAAACTAGTGAACTAGAATTAGAATTGGAATTACTGCCTGTTGAGGCAAATGAATCTGGTGAGGAATTATTTGTTGCTCTCCAGAGAGTGGACGCAGATGTGGACATGGTCCCTCCACCCTTAAGCAAGGTTTCCGCCATGCTAACCAATTCTTCAAACTGGGTGACTGCTTGTGGTAACACTGGAATGGCAAGAGAAAGTAGCATTTTACAAACATGTTCATAAGGGTGCATATTTACATATTTTTATTCTGTATATGTGCACAGAACTATGAGGAATAAATTGTTAATATTTTCTACCTTTGGTAAATAAACATAGTGGAGAGGGTGAAACATTGATTTTTTTATTATTAAATAACTTAATAATTGTTTAATAATAATAAATCAATTTTAAAACAATTTGGTCATTGTATTTAAGTGTATATGTATTACTTTGAAGCTAAAAAGTTGATACTTAAAAAGTTGATTCTTTTTTTCTATATTTGAAGGTGTTGAATCTGTCATTTGGAGACGTTTCTGATTCTATTATCAATCACCTTCTGGAAGTTCACACTAGGCCAGTTTAAATGCCAAGATAAAATCAACAAATTCTTACAGATTCAAATAAATTTTCCACAACCTTTGTGTGTGGTCCACCACCACAGTCAAATTCTATCAAATTAATAAAAATACACTGCTGCAATTCAAATCTATGTTGTCATGTATTAAAGACGAATTTTGCTAATCAACTGAATATTCACTTTGTCCCTTTTTGTTTGTATTGGAAACTTACACATTCAAAGTTTTCATGCTTCCATGTAAAATGGTCTTCTCTGTTGTTATATCTAGTTTGTTTCCTAAGGACAAATAACATGTTGTTGGAGTTGGAAGAGATCTTGAACCCTGTCTAATTATATTCCTCAATCAAATGTCAAGGGCACTGCTTGCTGGAGAAGTGAAAGAGACTCTGAAACAAACTGAAATAATCTTTCTCTCTTCTCTCTTCTCTCTCTCTCTCTCTCTCTCTCTCTCTCTCCTTTCTTAGGTATTTTTCTTAAGCATATTATTGAGCTATACTCTTTAGAATAATTTATGACAAATCAAAATTAATACATCTTGTACTATATTAATAGGCAACTCTACTAAAGAAGAATTTATAGTTTCTTATTCTTTCAATAAATATTCACTAAGCATCTCTTATGGTGCCAGACACTTATTCAATCAGTGATTATTTATTGAGCATTTAATAATATTAAATATTTACCTAACTTTTTCTCTGTGCCACAAACTATTCTGAGAATTCCTGTGATGTTCACTCAATCAATCCTCATTGCAGAAGAGGTCAATTAGAGGATAAGTAACTTGTCCAGAAGAGCCAGATTCAGACTGTCAGTACCCACATCCATGTTTTACAGACTCTCAGTATTTGCCAACCACTATGTGAAGTGCTAGGGGAAAAAACTGGGAGCAAAACCAGATGTGACCCTTGCCCTTTTGGAGCTCAGAGTATGGTAGATAATCTTTCTCTCTTCTCTCTCTCTCTCTCTCTCTCTCTCTCTCTCTCTCTCTCTCTCTTTCTCTCCTTTCTTATGTATTTTTTCTTAAGCATATTATTGAGCTATACTCTTTAGAATAATTTATGACAAATCAAAATTAATACATCTTGTACTATATTAATAGGCAACTCTACTAAATATGGTGGAGTGGGGTGAAGGGGAGGACATTATTCACATAGCCATGCAGTACAGTAAGAATTTTGTCTTGCTCAAAGAGGGTCTGGCCTTTGTGCCAACTCCTAGATGGTAACTTCTAAACCCTTTGGGGTTTCCTGAAGGATAGATTTATCTTTGTTAATCATGGTGAGCACCTGGGACCACACCTGGTAGTTTATGCTAATAAGGTAATTCAGAGTAAAGTCTTTTGTACCCAATATCCAGAGGGTGGAAGCTAACCACAACTAGAAATCTAGAAAGATCCACCATATAATTTAGAGACTGAATTCAAGCATGTGGACAATCAATCAGTCATGCCCATATGAAGCCTCATTCAAAACTTTGGATATCAGAATTCCAATGAGCTTCCTGAAGGAACATTACTGTCTGCATATGGTCACACATAGATCCAGGAGGGTAAGACTTCCTGAGGACAACAGAACTCCATATTTAAAAAACCTCCTAGATTCTACCCTCCTCATATTCTAATTTGTGTCCTTTACTTTGTAATACAATCATGACTTTAAATAGGCTTCAGTGAGCTCTATGAATTTTTCTATCAAATTATTAAATGTGAGGGTGGTATTAGGAAATCCCCAAGTTTGTACTTGGTGACAGAAGTCTTGGGCAGATTTGGCAGTCTGGAGGACAGTGCCCTTGACCTTGCAATTGGACTAACTTGTACATGCAAAGAAATAAAAATTATAATTCTGAAGTTACGCAAAGAGGCATTGATCTGAGAGCTAAAGACCCAATAGGAATTAAAGAGCTGAAGAGAATGAGGGGAGGTCATTATAGGCACAGAAAATGCATGATCTGTATTTGAAGAACTGAAAGAAGGCTAAAGCTATAATGTCAAGACAAAAAGGGAATTTGGTTTAATATTTGAAGATTTATTTTGGTTGTTGTATGAATAAGCAATTAATTCCTTTTTGTCAATGACTATATTCCATTACTTCACAATTAATACTCTGCAACAAATGCATCTAATCATCTATTGATTAATTATTTACCATTGATACATAATTTTAATTGTTCCCTAATAGTCTAAGATATTGATGTTATATAATTTACTTAAATGCTCCATTTTTGCTTCTTGGAGATTAGGTTGCTTCCAATTTTTCTTTATTACAAATAAAACTCTGACCAGCCTTCTAGCACATACATCTTCATGTGCATCTCTGATCATGTCAATTCTAGACATTTCTCAAAGCATTATATTAGGGTCAAGAGGTATAAATAAATGTTTTCAAGATTCATTTAGTTAACAAATTCTCTTCAGAAAGACTTTTTCTGATTTACATTTCCATTAAAAATGTAAGACATTGGCCATTTCACTGTACCACTAACAACAGGCTTTAGTCATTAACAATAATCTTCACTTTTTGAGAGGTTAAAGTCTTAGTACAATTTAAGTTGTAATTATTTAATTATTGTTAAGTTAAATATGTATTTATTTGTTTTTTTTTTTGAGTGTTTGAATTTCTTTTAAGAATTACCTATGATACTATTGGCACCAGTACGTTTTTGTATTTTTTAAAAACTTACTTGGCCTATGTAAAATGCTTACAAGACTGCCTGCTGTACAATGTATAAGTTATTGCTGTTAACTCCTTTGTATATTAGCAATTTAATTATTTGTATGTTAGCATTATTTGTATATTAGCATTCTAATCTTTTATTTGTACGCAATTGTGATTACCTTTCTCAGAATGTTTCTTCTTAATGTTATCACATTTTAAAAGCATACACAAAAGCCTAGTGTGACAGTGTGCACCTCTGTAGTCCAAATCACTTGGAGTCTGAGGCAGGAGGATCCCTTAGGCCCAAGACTGTGAAGCCAGGCTAGACAACATAGGGAGACCCTGCCTTTAAAATTAAATAAATAAATGTGTGTGCACACGCCCAGTTTGAGTCTTTATTCTAGTTAAAAGTAGTGATATTTTCTTAGTATATTGTCATTTTATGCTTGAAAATTATTCAAATATTCATTCATATATTGAATAATTGTAACATATTTTTAGAAATGTTTTCTCCCCACATATATATTTTAAACTTTTAATGGAAAAATTTAAACACAGACAAAAAATGGTAAAATACTCTAGTTTCTGCTCAAGTGAAGCCAATCTTGTTCTATCTTCCCAACTACTTTCTTCCCAAGATTACTTGATTCGAGTCACACGTATCATCTCATTTTATTTGTAAATATTAGTATCTATAGATATTCATTCCATTTATAAGTATGTATTTCTAAAAGGTGAAAAATTAAAAAAACATAACTGTAACACCACTGCCACAGTAAGAAATAATTAAAAGTAATTCTTTAAAAAAACCTGGTCAATGTTTAAATTTCTCTGCCAAGTTGGTTTTGTTTTTGTTTTTTAACAGTTTGAATCAGGACCCAATAAAGACTGTGCATTACAATTATTTGCTGTTTCATAGGAACTATAGGTTTCCTCTCCCTCTCCTAGTTTTCTCCCTTGCAATTTATTAGTTTAAAAAACTGAGTCATTTGCTTGGAGGATTTCACTTGGTCTGGATTTTGCTGATTTTACAGCTAAGTAGGCATTTAACATATTTTTCTGTTCTTTGTATTTGATATAGATTAGTAGTTAGATCTGAAGTCTTATTAGATTCAAGTAGTGCTTTCATTTCCATCAGGTTGCATTTAATGCGTGGTTAGCTCTTTTATGATATTATAAGCCACGATGATCACTGCTTAGGTTCATTATGTCATAAGAGGTCCCTGAATGGGATATTCTAATTATTTTACTTTTTGCTAACTAGCTGAAATTCTTTTAAAAAGGGAAGCTCCCTCTTACCAACTATTTGGTCACTCAGAGGTTCATTTCATATAGTAATGACAGGATAAATGCTTCATTTTGGGGGTCTGTATTTGACAGTTTTCAAAGTAATTAGTTGCTTTTTTCAGATGACTATTAGATTATGAACTCATACGCTTAAACATGTACAATATGTTTCTACCTATTGTGATTATCATTCTTTTTTATTTTATTTTAATTTTTACATTTGTTCTAATTAGTGTGGTTATCATTCTTTTTGATGCTCAATCTGCACTTCTTTGGTTAGTAGGAAGCTCTTCTAGTTAACACAATCACAGTCTTTGTTATACTTCCTCACTGGTATGGCAAGATGTTCCTATTTCCTGTTCAAAGCCCCTGACAAGGCTCATGTGGTGTATTCCATGTGCAGATATCAAATCAGCCTTTTCTTCAAGGATCTTGAGTTTCTTTTAGTGGGAAATAATGCTATAAGACTACATCCAGGTGCTAGAAATGTCCTTTGCTATTGAGTTCTTGTTTCTAGTCCTATTTAGTGAATAGTATTAGGAAATATATGATGTTACATTTTTAAAGACAAAGTTCATCAACTCTTCAAACAAGTACTTCCCATTCAAATTCAGAATGTGTAGTTTTTATTTAAACTGCATAGGCATGTTTTCATATGCTACTTGGTGCAAAATGAGAACC